TTAAGAGAATGCAACTATATATCTATCCTAACCACTTTGAATACACAGATACAAAATGGACATTCATCGGTATACCCCATTTTTTCTAAGTTCCGTCATTGAATATTAGAGGTGTGTAAGCTCTCACATTTTATAATTTTCTCTGATGATGAGTATGTAAGATTTTTATGGCCATACTGCTCTTTTTTGTTAAGAGAACATTAGTAAGAACCTGTTCTAGGGCTTGGGGATATAGCTCATGACACAGCACCTGCCTAATAAGCACAAGGTCCTGAGTTCGATTCCTGACACCAAGAGCCTTTTACAATAGGCTCAGCATGGAGTTATCAAAGTGAACGTGGCTGACTTGTTCCCAGGATTCTGTGCTTGGGTAGATGAAGCAGTGTCAGAACACCAGCAGCCCACCTGCCAAGGGCTGGTAGGAGGGAATCCAGAGGAGGGCATTCACCAAAGTGTCCTCAGCCCTTTTGGGGACCTAGCACATGCTCACTTTATATACGGGCTCATTTTCAATCTTTTAGTTTAAAAGTCACTGATCCAAGCTTACGTTTTCTGAAAATCCTGCCCAGGCCAAGCCATTCTGGATGCTACTGCCCATGTGCCTGTGGCTCCCACCAAAATTCCTCTTCTGAAATCCTGTTGCTCAGAGTGTTGCTTGAGGAGAGGAGATTTTTGAGAGGTGCTCAGGTCACGAGGGCAGAGCCCTGAGGACTGGGCTTAGTACCCTTATTAAAGAAGCTCTGCGAAGCCTGCTACGTCCTTTCACTTGGGAGGACACAGCAAGAGGGCCTGGGAACGAAGCAGAAAGTGGCAGCATGCCTCACCCAGCACTGCCTCCACCCGTGCCGGACAAACGTCCTTGGTTTCTCTTGCATATACACTGCCCAGTTCAGGGCATGTTTCATGGCCAGTAGAATGGACCAAACACTGGGCTTTGGGCCCAAACAGCTAGTTTGGGTCCCACTTATGTCACTACTAGCCCTGTGGCCTTTTTTTTTTTTAATTTATGTATGTGTGGGGGGGGCAGCTCAGCCCACCAGGGGGCGCGGCTGGCTGGCATGTGGTGCTGGGGGATTGAACCGCGGTCCCTGTGCTTTGCTAAGCTTGTTCTAAGTAGGTGCTTTAGACCACTGAGCCATCTCAC